TACTTTTTTTTAAGAGAGAAATCTAACTACATTCTTGCTTCTATGTTTTTGGACAACTTCCTCTCTAGGGTTTTAGCCCCTCCTCCCCCGTTTTTTTTATGTTGCCCCTATTATTCAACTAATCTCTTCCAATAGATTTGATCGCTAAATTTAAAGGAGGGACTAACATAGATTAAAAAAATATTACAAGAACAAAAAATTAAGAGAACCAAAACAAAAAAATAAGCAAATTAAACCAAAAGGTTTCGAGCTTTATTCAATTAATGACCAATACAAAATTTTGTGTAAAAAAAAAAGGAGATTGTAAGATGAAAAAGAAAATTAGTGTGATAGAAATAGGGACAAATATCGCTTTTCCATTGAGATTTGTCATTTTAGTGTGAATTGTTGTAACACAAATAAAATTTAGTATTTCTGTAAAAAAAAAAAAAAGGAAAAAAAAGAGATTGTAAGATGGAAAGAAAAAAGAAGAAATTTTAGTGTGAACTGTTGTAACTCGAAATTGAGATTTGGAACTTCATGTAATCTCTCTGTGTTTTTGTGTATTAATCATTATAGACTAATTTATCTGAAGGTTACAAGCTAGGTTCATATCTTCCACACTATAGCTGGCATTTGATAAGATCAAGCACTTCAATTTTCAGTGTCACTGCAAACAAAAAATAGATGATCCCCATCTCGAATCACACTGATATCATCTATCTCTGCATTCTCTATGGTAATTACTTTTGTAAGCTTGGAGACTCCAAATTTTTCTCCTGCAATTTCACAAGTTCAAAGTCATCAGAATCATAAATATTTTATCACTGTCTTTTACCATAATAGGACATATTTAATTAAAATTGAAACATCCTTAATCAGTGTTTACCTGCAATATGGAGCAGCTCTTGTAATGAATGAGGTAGCATTATCAACTTGCCATGTTCCTGTAAGCTGGTTCTGTGTTTGCTTAGAAAGTGGATGACAACTCTCTTTTTGAAGAATCTTTCTGTTTCTCTCTCAGTTCTATGGTTAGAAGCACTTGAATAGGAGTTTGAGTATGTTTTTCCTAAAGGGTAATCGAAAGGGATTTCTGGCTCCAAAAATTTTATAATATGTTCATCTACTATCTTCCTATTTTCATGGTTCACTGCAAGGTCAGAAAGGCTCTTGTTTTGTTGCTGATCTACAAGAGACTTCTGTTTCCATCTTATAGGGCCTTGGTTCTTCTCATTTTCTTCCATTTCAGCATGATCTTTACGGAAAGTAGCATCAAAATCTCCTTTTCCATCCTCAGGAATATGCAATCTGGTTTCCTCATGACAATTACTTGCAGATGAATCAGGAACACTTGTTTCTGTGTTATCCATTTCATGCATTTGGGGTTCCCTTGGTGAACATTCAAAATCCAAACCTTCATGCCCCTTTATCCTCTGCTAAAACGAATGACAACAGTGTTGTTAGGATCATGATGGGAGTAGTATATTGTTTAGGGTGGTTGTGTGATGAATGAAAATGAAGTTTTGTAATGATGTTATTACCATGAAGAGATTTTTCATTATGATTTGTGCAGCTTCTGGATATCCATTTAAGGAGTTCATTAAGGAAGTTCTGCCGAGTCTTAAAATCTGAGAAAGCTCAGTGGTCCGAACAGTGAAAGGCTGTGGTCTACAGTACAACACTCCAATCTCCCCAAATATGTCCTCTGCAACAGCCTTCTTCAGAACCTGAAATTGAATAACTTGATCTATCAGGTTCAGTACTTTCATTCTGCACTAAAAGCATAACCTGAAATATGTTACTCATGACATACTTGCTCATTCCTTTCAACATAACGAATCATATCCTGCAAAAACAAATAGTCAATTGAAAGCAAATTTTGTCAGTTATTTGAGATTCATTCATTCATTCAAGGTTAGTTTATTACTCATGGTTTAGCTTACTCACCACTGCCCCTGAAACCAGTATGTAGAGGTCTGTGGGAGACTCGTTTTGCAATATCACATCTTCCTTTGGGGGGAAATACAAAGCGTCCATCTCAGTAACCTATTTAAACAAAGTTATTTTCATAAGTGAACTCTAATTTTAGTGAACTGAGGATGTTGTTAATATGAGGTAGAAAGAAGTTAGAATTACCAGTTGGAAAAGAAAATCATCTGATACTCCTTGGAAGAGGTATAGTCTCTGGAGAAGAGGGAAAAAGAGATGGTGTGCAATGCTTGCACGAATTGCCTTTGGCAGGCCATTCAGTGTCTCTTGCTGCTTCACTCCTTCTGTCTTGAATTTCAAACACAAGTGTGACAACATCTGTTCCTGTATGTGATGTGGCAGATGGTTTCTCGATGCAAATTCTGAAGCTGCTCTCACTGTGTCTCTCTGCAACAACAAAACATGTTTCTCTCTGTCAGCTGCGTGTATCAAAGAGTGTAGATACAAACATCAAACATCAATATGACATCATTCTAACCATATAAAAGATTGAAATCATTATCTATCTAAAACCTTAAAACAATGAAATTAATGAGTTTTTCATCTGTGTTCTACTTTCTATTTTTTCGAATGTATTCACATTTTGATTTCCCTACAAGAAGATCAAATTAACACACTTTCACATAGTTTTTTTCTCAGACTTTTCAAACCTGTTAGTTATATTATTCATGTAACAGTTTTTACAACAGAATAACTATCATATCATACATACCGTATCTTTGTTCTTCAAAACTTTTGCACAAAAATTATATAAACATAATTTCTCTATTTTCATTAAACAGAATTGTAAAAGTGAAGAAGATATGCACCAGCAGACACATGTATGTGACTAGAGTGTGTGGTTGAGCCACGTGTCTCCACTAAAATATTTTTTCTGTTTCTACTTTCATAAGCTTTTTACCACCTTTTCCCATTTTCTAAAGATGTGTGCAATCACTACACACACATATATATATATATATATATATATATATATATATATATATATATATATATATATATATATATATATTCTTACAGAGAAGATTTTCACATGCATCTTTGAAATACTGCAGAGCTTGTTTTGGGATCAGCATCTAAATGCATGGTTTGGTGATAAGATACTTTTGGTGGGATATTAGAGCCACAAGATACTTTATGTGGAATTTGTGGTAAGATTATGTGGAATTTTTTGGGGAAAGATTATGATGTGGAATTAAATATATGATAGTGTATTAGAAAATCTATGGCATGGAAGTAAGTATATAATAAATTTATATATCTTGTGTAATATAAACTTGATCCATTTTATAATAGTTTATGGTTTTATTGACAGAATAAAATAATCAGTTGGACATTAAATTAAAACTAGTAAATTAAATTAAAATATTTGATGAAATATTAAACTAATTGACAAGTGTGAAATTATGATGTTTATATATAAGAAAACACTTAATGTTGAACTAATCCTTTATAATTACTTTTATCACGTGTTAAATGAATTTAAATTTGTATTTTGGTATTTATTTTGAACCGTTTTTTCTCACAGTATCAGAAGATATTGGTGGGCCAATAAACATTGAAGCACAGGAAGATTGGGGGGTTTTGATGCTGAAAGTACTCGTGTTGAACACTGATTAAGGAATATTTTATTAATATTAAAAAAATAATTAGATTAAATATTCTATTCTTTCCTTATCTTCTACAACATTTTTTTTTATCTATTTCTTTAAAGGGTATTCGAAGTCACTTTGTTAATATTTGTCCAAAATTAAGATGTCAGAATCAAAACCTTTCGACTTTTGGTAAAGTACTAGTTAAGTGCATGATGATTAAGACTTGGGATTTATTCTAATTCATGCTCTACAAATTAAAGTAACACTTAAGTTCCAGTGTTAGAGAAAAAACAAAGTAGGTTAAATTATGGAATAATCTATTTATTATATATTTTTCCTCTTTAAGTATGTATAAACAACTTTATTTGAAAGGGTTCAAGTGATTAAAAGGAAGGAGAAACTAAAACAGATTACGAGTATTAAATAAGTATTTGAAAAATTCTTCAAAATATTTGAAAAGTGGATCATCATTTATTTAACAAATAAGAATGAAAAGTGAAAAAAGAAAAGAATGAAAAAGACCATTTAAAAAGTTAAGAAGAAGTTTGAGAAAACGTACAAAGTTTCTGGTGCGGCTTGTCCAATGGACAACGAGGTTTGTCATGTTTCCGATGATGTAGGAAGTTAATCCCAAGTTGAACAAAATGTAGAAGATGAAAAAGAGCATCTCTCTTGTGTTTGTAGCATGCAAGTCTCCATAGCCAGTGGTAGTAAGTGTCACAATGGACCAATACATCGAAGTCACGTATCTTTCCCACAGACTCTCTTCTTTGAAATTTGGAAACACTGAACCAATCCATGTTGTTTTCGGATCATAGTACCTATCTGCTATCAGATAGTTGAAGCACCCAGCAAAGTGCACCACAAACAATGTCACCTGAAAGTTTCATCATATTATAATTTTCATCATACAAAAATTAGCTTGAATATTGAATTAAAAACACTATATTTATCAAATATCGTGCATTTGACACGTATCATAAAATAAAATAGTAAATTTTAATTTTTTAATAAAAAAAAGTGAAAAATGTAGTATGTAAACATTTTGTATTTTAAAATATTACTTTTCTAAAGTTTTTATCAGAACATAAAGAAAGATTAAGATTCAGGAAGAGGAGAGTATATATATGAAATCTTATTCTTGTTTAAAATTTGACATTCTTGTATTTTCGTAAAAATCGAGGAGAGAGAAACAATCACAGACCCACTTCACTTTAATCAATGTGGCATAACACAAACAGTTGCATAGAAGCATCCTCACTCGTCCAACGGTTTTGTTTTGTGTGCCACAGCAATAAATGTCATGAATGCCTATTGTTTTGATCACATGAAAGGAGTTCAGGGTTTTTTTTAATTTGTGGTATTATTTATTTTCTGTATTTTGATATATTAAGAAATATACAGTAAAAAAACCTTGAATCGAAATGAAATTTAGAGCTTACGCAATGAGCTTGAAGCACCTGGTCCAGAAGTAATTGAAGCGAATGTCCTTCTCAAGTCTGAAGGAAACCAGAGGAGCTAATAAGGATTTTTGAGTTTGTGAAGTGTTGAAAAATCATAAGGTTGAACACATAACATAATGTTGGACCTTGCAAACAGAGAACTGACACGTCTAAGGCGCCACAACCGAAGCATGTTCAGAATTTTGAACCCATTTCACTATTGTGATCAGTGAATAGGAGGCTGATGGATTCAAAGTGCAGTTGAAGCACACGTCAAAGAGAACCAAGTAGATAGGTACCTACGTGATGTAAGCAAAGCTTTTGAAACCTCAGAGTAAGAGAATGCAAACAGAGTGTTTTGGTTTGTCACTGATAGCAAAGAAGAGAACCTGGATAGATGAATATGAGTGTACCTTATTGCAATTTTCTTTGGATTATCAACAAGAAGGTAGGAATGGTGATCGAGATATGCAACAAAGAATGTGAGAACGATGTCGATGGCAAAGAAGGCATTGACAATGTTGTCTATGATGAACAGTGTGTCGTGCTTTTGATGGAGAAAGGCAAACTCAAAGGGGCAAATCCATGCAGAGTAAACAACAAAGACAATCAGCAGCATCTCCCAGGCCCTGATACCATGTCAGAAGAAGAAACACAACCACCTTTTAACATACAGAAGATAATAGAGTAATTAGAGTAAAAAAAAAAACATCATGGTTCTCACCTGTAACGTGGATCAAAAGGGGAAACTGTGCATCTTCTAAGCCTTGTTTCTTGGTTGATTCTGGCTCCAAGGGATGGCAAGAGATCATTAGACAGAAAGCTGCTATAAGGAAGACTTGCCATTTGAAACTCGTCAACACAGAACCTCTTGAAAAACTTTTGGCCACTGCAAAATGGCATGGTATAAGGCTTAAACAAAAACAGTAGAAGAAGTTGTTGTTGTTGTTGGTGTTGGAAGGCTGAATTGAATTCTGCCTACAAGTGTGTGACCACATTTATAATGTGGTTGCTTTGACTCAAACGCGTTGGTTTCAGAATTTGGACCTCTTTTCCCCTACCTTTTTGTTGAGATGCCTGTGACATGGCTTAAAGGAATACTTAATTTTATGGCTTAGTTTGGAGGAAAAGGTAGAAAAGGTTGTGATAAAACTGAGAGGGTATTCTATTGACAAATAAAGTTATGACAAAATACAAGAACCTAATGATCTTTCTCAAATGTTGCAGATAATTCCGTGTGTGAATTGTGTTTACACCAAACTTTTTACTCATCAAAGATCAAAGATCAGATATGTCTCCAAATAATAATTACCACTCAAGTAATGCTATACATATGTATACTAAAACAGAATCATCGGTAATTCTTATGAATTTCTCTTCAAATCTATTAAGATATCAGGGTTGTTAGGATTATAAGAACAAGTATTTAAACAATATACAGAAACAGTTTTATTTCAAATTCATTAACCAACTAAGGAGCTATAGTAAAATGGGTAAGTATGAAGATTCTATCATAAACTAAGAATCTATAGTAAAATGGGAAAAGCATAAACATTCTGCCCAGATATTTTGTCTGTTATCAAATTAAACTCGACTTAATAGATATTTGGTTAGTCAATTAGTCATTAACTTAATATATTTATACTTATATATAAGAGACCTTCTTTATTATACACTTTATGGTATAAACTGTTATCCATTTAGATTAAAATTTCTACTAAATGTTATTTATATTTTATTTAATAATATTATTTTTTGTTTTTTCAAATTTAGATTAAAATTATTTATATTTCATTTAATAATATATACTTTCGTAATGTTTAACAAACAATCACAAGATTTTCTTATACTATTAAATAAAGTATATAACATTGTAGTGGTTAGGATTAAAAGAAGGTATATTTAAACAATAAGATACCATTGGATATACCGAAACAATTTTATTTCAAATTCATTAACGAACTAAGGAGTTATAGTAAAATGGGTAAAGCATGAAGATTCTATCATAAACTAAGAACCTATAGTAAAATGGGAAAAACATGAAGATTCTGTATAAAGAGTTATAGACCCCAGTTTCAACCAGTGACTTTTGGTTAACCCGAATGAATCATGAAAGAAAAAAAGATTATTTAAATTTAGTTTAATAAGACTTTCAGTTTATATAATGTTCTTTCATCTTCTAAATTTCTATTTTATTTAAAATATATACTTTTTAAATCAACCATAGAACTCATGGAAAAAAAATTAAATATATATTACATATTGAAGAGTTAAAAATGAAAGAGTAGAGAAGAGTTAAAAATGAAAGAGTAGAGAAGAGTCTACTTGCATAAATATCAGATTTTTTTTACTGTTATCAAACTAAATAAAAATAAATAATTTTGGTTTAATAGATATTTGGTTAAATTATCAATTAACTAGTCATCAACTTAAGCTTTATATTTATATAAAGAGATTTATATACACTCTTACTTTTCTCTAATAATATAAATTTTAACTTATTTTACTCTTTTCTTTATTTATTATTTTTTTCTTATATGTTGGTTTCAATTCTCACTATTACTACTTCTATTTATTTTATTTTTTATCTTGACGGTTAAAAAAAAGAGGAAAACAGAATAAATAATTGCACTAAATTTGAATTAAAATTTTTACAAAAAATTATTTATATTTTATTTGATAATAATATATACTTTTGTAACTTTTCATCTTTATAATTTAATCACTTTTACTAATTTAAAACTTTTAACTTACATTTTCTATTTTATATACTCATAATTTTATAACTCTAAAAATTATATTTTTTAATAATTTTATTAATTATTTATTACTATAAAATACTTTACCTATCAAATTAACTAAATTTAAACAATTACAGTAATAAAATATTTAAAAGTGTTGCAACACCTTATATACACTGATAACAATTAAAAAGTTACATAAAATAGTTAATATAATTGAATGGGTATGTTGTATTTAATAATTGTTATAATGTCTTGGACCATATTATAAAAAAAAAAACTTTGAAATAAATATAATAGAGGAAATTGACTTTTAAGATTATTTAAATTTATTAATATTCATAAGCATTTTTAAGTATCAATTTTATTACTTTATATGCATGCTTCTATAATTTTTTCCATGGAAAATTACTTTTATTTTAATAAATATCTTTTACAAATTCAATAGGTTTTCTTAACTTTCTTAAATTGATAAAACTCTGATTATTTAGAAAATTAATTTTGAATAGCTTATAGAAAATATATTATTATAGTTATCTTTTAAAAAATATAATTATACAAAATATATTTTTAATTTACACCAATATATAAGGATTTCAATTTCTTTTTTCATATTCTTATTTAAAATTTATTCTTTAAATAAAAAATTATTTTTAATTTAAAAACTTATTTTTATCAATTTAATTCTTTAAATAATCATTTATTTGAATTTCATATTTTTTTATTTAACCGCATTTTTAAACTTAATAATTTTTTAGTTATAAAATTACTTACAAAATAAAACAAATTATTTAAAATAATATTATAAAATTATTTATATTTAATTTTAATTATAATAAATAATAATAATACTTTTATTATTTTTTATTACTATGAAAAAGTGAACACATGCACATAATATATATATATATATATATATATGTGTGTGTGTGTTTTTACTAGTTTATATTAATAAGAATTTTAAAAATAAATTTATTGAGATTTATTATTTTTCTCAACGAATAACAATAAAAATATATATATAAAAAATGGAAAAAGTTATTCTGTATTAAATGCTTAAAATTTAAAATTATTTTAAGATAATAAAACATATAACGCTGATTTTTTTTTATTCAAAGTATGATTAAAATAAGTATTATTATTGTTCTTATTTATAAAACTCTAGAAATGATATTTTAGAAATGATATTTTAGAAGGAGTGCTAGTTTAAAAATACTGAAACTCAGTTATTTTAATATTAAATGATTTATTTATAAATAGTTTTTTTATAAACGAGTTTCATTAGTTTAAAATGTATCATTTCTTTAAAAACCATTCTTTTAGAGTTCTCTACCTTCTCTATTCTTGAGTTATTTCTTTGACGATCAGGAGGTACCTAATCGACTACAACAAAGAGGTCTATGTTTCTACCCAATTAGTTTCTTCAATAGAGTAAGTAAGTTTCAACCATTTTTTCTCTTTTTGCTCTTAATTAAGATCATGCTTAATGATCTCTTGTTGCATGTAAGTTGTAATGTTTTTTCCTAATTTTCAATTGATCAGAGGTCTTAAGGACTCTTTCTGCTTTCAATTTGGTGTTGTGTCGGTGTTTCTAGAGTTCCTTGTACTCTAAGCAAGGATTCAACATTTTTAGAGCTCTTTAGTTTCCTTGAGAGGTAAGGGAAGCTAGACCTTGTTTTAGATTATGTTTGTGGTTTGAATTTAGTATCTATGTGAATGATAATATGATTTTAGTGAAATAGCTAGGTTGTTGCTAAAATTCTTTGTTTAGATGATGATAAATGATTGTATGATGTTGAATGCTTGATGTGGTGTGTTTGCAAAGTTGTTGCTATCACGATTATGTGTGATGAAGTTGTATGATTATTGAAAATTGGATTCAAAGTGTTTGGATTGAAGAAGAGTCAATTACTTGGGTTTTTAAGTCTAAAAAGTAAGTTTTAATAGGTGAGTTTGAGAAACAGGGGTTAGTATGAGAGAGCAATTATTATAGGACTGTGATGAGGTCATTTGAGACTTGCTAGAGGGGTTATTCAATTGAAATCTGATATGGAACTAGAGGTAGTTCATTTTAGGGTTTTTGGGGTGTTTCTAGTGTAAACATTGAGGTTTTGAGTAATGTGATTGTGAGGTAAGGGGTGAAAACTATTTTAGGAAGTTAGGAGTCTATTATGAGACTTATTATGACTTGTCTAGACATTTAAATGTGTAAAATCTGGTGTAAAAGTGTTAATTGTATGATAGGGTGAGTCCTTTGGTTAATTTTAGTTCAATTTTGAGGTTTTACCTAATGAAATCTTGAAATAGAAAGGTTGTGAGTAAACTAAGGTATTGGGGTATGTTATCTAGTGTATTAAGACTTATCCATGTTGTTAGATTGTTGATATTGAGTGTTACAAGTGATAGAATTGAGTTCAGGCACTTTTGAGTTGTTGAGTTGGTTTGATACATCTAATTCCTAACCAAATAAGCAATGTAGTACTCTATTTTCATCTATAACATGTTTTCGTAGCAATATTAGTGATACAGATTCTAAATTGATTATTTCAATATGTTTAAGATGCACCAAAACCAGAAAAATTAGGTTGCTGTCAAAAACTAATAAGAATAATCGATTATCTCACTTGATAATCGATTATTCTAGTCAGAATGTCATTTTTTTCAAAGCTCTCAGGAATAATCGATTATCACATATGATAATTGATTATTGTCGTCCGAAAATCATTTTGGCATGAATCCTTTCAGGAATAATCAATTATCAAGTATGATAATCCATTATCTCCTTAAAAAAAACTTAAAATTTAGTTTTTGGTTAGGGTGTCGTGTATGCATATTGGTGTCTTTTGTTTGATACTTTATTTGTTTTCTTATGGTTAAAAATGAAATGGCGATGTAATGCTTGTTTAGTAATATCAATGAGAAATTTTAAGAGATTTATGCATCAAGTTATGTATGTATTTGAAGTATGGTTGAAAAGATTTTCTAAGGTGAAATTTTTATTGATGGTTTCAAAGTGGTTTTATAAGTTTCAAAGGTGAAACTTCTTTGTGTGGTTTCAAGTGTTGTAAGTATGAATATGGGAAACTCAGTCTTAGAGTTCATCATGACATTCTAATGGTCATCCATTCTCAAGTAGAGAGGGGTAAGACATGTCGTGAGAATAGCAAAAGATCCTAGTCTAGGGGCTTTACTTTGGCCTA